TGTGTCTGAATTTTCTTATGAAATGAGGAAGATTTTAAATAATATTTTACTTTTTTTAATAATAAAATGTCATATTTCATGAACAGATGAATGAAAAAATATAGTCTGACTTCATGTTCTTTTCCCCTCTATCTTTAATTCTTGATATTTTAAATGTATACATTTTATTATTTGTGACATCACATCGCAATGTCTTTTGGGTTATTCCGTTGGACTAAGTCAGCATCCAGTGCCGACTTACAGAAAGAGTTCATAAAGGGCTCAAAATGGCTGCCTGAGAGCATCAAACACTCAATGATGTGACAAATGGACAACCCTAAACCTTCACAGAGTTAGTCGGAGTGTACCTCAAAAACTGAGTGCGTAACGGTGGAGATTGGTATTGGGTGCGCCTTCTTCATTGTTGTGGAACAAGTCACTTCCAGCTCACATGAACAGTGTTTTCTAAATAAACTCCCATCTTTACAGGAAAACAAAACTACTACTATAATTGCTACAAAAAATACTGTTATGTTGTGGAAAAGATGGATGTTATAAATGAGTAAAGAAGAGTGTCTGACTTGTGTTTTAAATATAATCGTAAATTGCACTTATTATGTTATGTTTTTCTCCTCACAGTACAAGACCTCACTCGAGATTATCTGAATTTACATTGGGAGTTTAAAGAACGTTGTTTTCCTGCAAGTAAACTCGTGTTATCTTGCCAGGCATCGACTGTCAAGTACATTAATATCTACTAAGTGTGGCCTTTCTATGAATTATATGACCATATCTTCAAAAAGACGACCTTAGTCAAAAACTTGAAGAGAGGAAGCTGGCACATGACATTAGGTGAAAGGTATGAAGTATAAACGTAAATAGAAGCAGAACTAGATCGAATAAATACATTTACATATGTCAAGCATGACGAGCAAGAAAATTAATGTTTACATGAAGTTTTTTCAGGACGGGACTGGTATCCAGTGAAGGGAGAGGACTGTTAACAGTGAAAGGACAGAACTGGGAACCACGAAGAGAGCGGACTGGTATCCAGTGATGGGAGTGGACTATTAACTAGTGAATGGAGCAGGCTAGTAACCATTGAAAGGGGCGTCAGGTCTTGGGTGAGAGAGCCTTTTAATGGAAGGAAAAGTAGTTGAGTCTTGTTCAAGTTTAATTATGGGATGTAGATATAGAGAGCACAGTGGGGTGTAAATGTACAGGACAAATGTGGAGAACAATATTGGATGTTTATGTAGAGAACATAGTGGCTAGCTGTGGATCTTTGTATAATGTCAGTTTCACAGTTTCTCTCTTCCCTCCGGAGGGTGGGGCAGGTAGGTAATGGCCATGACTCACTCAGTGGTGGCCATCATTTTTCCCATAATAAGGGCCATGCTAACCCACGGCGGCGTGTGCTCATCATTAATCCGTCACAAATTAGAGCCTCAGCGTCAACAGCAGATGAATATTTTAATATTTAAACGAATACAAGAGGAAACACGGACATTATGTTGTGTGGTTACACAACTCAAATACAATATACAAACACACTATGTGTGGTTACACAATTCAAACATGTTAAGTATGAGAAGGAGACATATCTTATATTGGGGAGAAGAAATGTAAGAAGACAAGAAGAGTAAGTGGAGGAACAATACATCTAAGATCATGAATCCAGTTTGGGCATAAATGCAACCAGAATATATTTGATAAGTTTAGAGAATCATTTTATGTAATATAAAGAACAGGCTCTCTCATTAAAGAGGGTCAAAGGTCACACACATATTATTTTGCTGTGCAAACAGGATGTAATTGCTTGGAAGTGATTTCACAGATTTTATTTTCAACATTGCCAACTTTTCAATAAATCCCAGAAACATCTGTCTCTCTCTCTTTCTGTCCTTCTCTGTCTCTTTGTCTGTCATTCTCTTTCTATCTGTTCCTTTTTCGGTCTCTCCTCTGTCTATCTTTCTGTCTGTCTGTCTGTCCAACACAGCGCTTGAGAGCAGCATAGATTGACATGTAAATCTCCTACTCCCTTTTTCCCTGAGGATGAACTCCAACTGATCAGCTCTCCATCCATCTTCAATAATAAAGCTCTGTGTGGGTCTGTTACTGTGTGTGTGTTCTCTCTAGATCAGGTGCAGCTTAAGTGTCGGTGATGATGAGTTGCGTGATGAAGCACCTCTACCACAGCTACTACTCTGCATTTTAACACACACACATTAATTGATGTAGATTGAAGATTATTGTAGAATTCTCACTACTAGAGCTTCTTTACCAAAGTGTGTGCCAACCTTTAAATCATCACCATCAAATCATTGTCTTCATCACATATATATATATATATATATATATATATATATATATATATATATATATATATATATATATATATATATATATATATATATATGCATGTAACATACATAACATACATAGCGTTCCATTTAAAGTCCTTCATCACCATTAACACACTGTTCTGCATTCTGACAAAATCACAGACTTTTCAGAGGAAAATAGTCCTCAGCCAAGTGTGTTTGTTGAGATTTAGGTCTTTTCGAGGAACCAATGACACGCAGAAAGGAAATCAGATGAAGTTGAGGGACAGACTGAAGTTTGATGTTTAATTCTGAAGAAGAAACATGGAGAATTGGAGCTGAATTCACTTGTGACTGCGATTTACATTCAGTTACTTCCTGATTCACAAGATGAAGTACAATGTTGTAATTGTACAGCTTCATAATTAAGCAAATACCTGAATTGGGTAGTTTCTAATAATGTTTTTAAGCTTACTTTTTGATGATATGTCAATTCAATTCCATTCAATTCAATTCATTTTATTTAATTTATTTATATGTAATACATCCTGAGACAAAGAAAAACCAGATTATCTTTGAGAGGCTCGTACACAATAAAGCATTTCCTATTAAACATATATATAATCCATGTAATATGCATAGAATTATACAATTATAGAAATATTTACACACACACACACACATGTATAAATATATATATATATACTGTAAGTTTATTCAAAGATCAGTTTATCTTCATCATCTTCAAAGTCAAGTTTCATCTGACAAATAACACATAAACGCAATAATAACACACTAATTAAAATTATCCTCCAAATGAATTGCCAAACATTAAAACAATTATACTTCATCATTATTATTATTGTTGGTGTTGTTGTTATTGTTATTGTTCTTATTATCTTATTATTCTTATTATGAAATAAATCAATTTGAATTTAACTAACATTTATTTTAAAATATACACATATACACATTGATAATATTAGAGGTGACATTTTTGTTTTGAATTACGTAATTGTTTTACCGTTGTCATTTCACTTGACTTCCATCATCTCATTTATTTAACAAATGTAAACGTGTAAATATCATACAGACTTCTATCACGTGGTCAACCTTAAACTGTTAATAAAAGTTTACAAAAACAATGACAATAAAAATAGGGAAAATAATATTATCAATAATAAAAATTATAACAGGGGTTTTCAATAAAGGAACTCATCAATGACAAAAAACAACTGAAACGGTAATTTGTTCATAATTAATATATTTTAACAAAAATAAAAACAGATCAAAACAACATAAACATAATTTGGAATAATTTGAAAAACTGGAAGAAGCAGATTTATATTCATCGGAATATGTAATATGAAAAAAGAAATATGTCTCTGAGGTGTCGGCGCGTGTCTCTGCATCCTGAACGTGCCGTCAGATCAGCAGCTCACAGGTCAAAGGTTAGACGTGTCAAAGCGGCTATTCAGTGAACACACCCCCCCCCCCCCCCCCCCCCCCCCCCCGGACCCTATGTCCTTGAGCCCTCCGGGGATATTAAAACCTTCAGCTCCTCAGGCTTAAATCCGCCTTCTGCAACTGAAAGTGTCCTATATTTTACCATAAAGAAAACATAATTTCACCTTCTGGTTTTTAATCAATTCATAAAAATGTCAAATGATTTAATGTTTGGCTGTTTATTGATTTTTGATGGTCTTGGTCATATACAACCAATCAGTCCATTAATACAGTGACTCTCACAGATAATTCCATTGCATCTTCGATTTCATCAGTCCAGTAATTAATGACACGTTATTTATTATTGTCTGATAATAATTAGAATAGTACTATTTAAGATGTAACTTTGTTTATCCTTTGATTTATAAGCATTACAAATATGGTAATGAATACTAATATTCTGCTTCTATTATTATTATTGTAGTAATAGTAGCATTTATAATTATAACTTCCCGCGTTCTGGTTGACTTCTGGTGACGGATATTGTCAAAACATCTTTAAAGTAAACCCTTCTTCAGTGTGTCGCTCAATAAAATAAAATACGGGCTTTTCCGTAAAGATTTGTCAAGATTCCATATTTTCGTTCAAAAACGTTCCCTTTTTTTCTCTCATGGTCAGATTTAAAAGCTTTATTTGGTCTCAGTGTTCCTCTATTTAGTCCGTGTTTATACATTCATTATTAACTGTAAAATAAGCCTAATAATATTTTACTAACAATCAAAGGGTAAGAAGGGGACTTCCGATGGGAGATGGGAGAACATTTTATTAAATAATAAAAATATTATTATTCCAGCAACAATCTATATTTCTATGACAACATGGGTTTGTTCTATAGTGATGAAGAATTATCACTATAATTAATAAAAATAGTTTTAAAATATATTTTCGTCATCTTAAGGACAATTTAGTTTTAATTTTTTTCAGCTGGGGCTGTAAAATAAATAAAAGCCGACATGAAACAGAAACACAGTTAATTGGCATTAAAGTCGCTTTCAGCGGATCTATTTGTCAACCTAAATTGGTAAGGGGGGGCCCCCTAAATCCCAACACACTGACACGAACGCACACGCACAGTGTGAGTGAACATACCTCCACCGGGCATAGCAACGCTCCGACACAAACATCCCTGAACAGAAGACTTCTTCGCTGTGCTTCGCTCGTCGTGCCGCCAGATGAAAGTGACTCGTGTGGCTCCGCGCGTCCATGCAAATACATAAATGAAAGCACGTTGTGCCCCTGTACCCCCCCCCGCCCCCTCCTCCCGGCTGAGATCATGTGATGGTGAAGAAGTGGCCCATTGATGAAGCACCTCTCCGCGGGTCTTCCTGTTCATGTCACCGCCGTCAGCAGGCAGACGGGACAGACCGGAGAGCACATGGAGGAGGCAGCAGCCGCCGCTTAGCGCAGCTCAACACGGGCAGGTGGAAGAGGGGACTCTCCCCCAAACCAAACAAGGACCAGAGGAGGAACCAGCCTCCACTTCTTCCACTTTTACTTAACTTCAGGACGAAGTTACGGCTAGAGACGAGCGCGTAAAAGACGAGACAATGCGTGCCAAATACAATTGTCTTCGTGCGTAACGGTGTTTTCAATAGTAAGAACTGTTTGGACAAAGTTTGCGAGTATTTTCTGCTCTCTGAAGACGGGTGCTCGACTCAGCTGAACAATGCCTCGTCCTGGGAGGAATACCTACAGCGATCAAAAGCCGCCGTACTCTTACATTTCCCTAACGGCCATGGCCATCCAGAGCTGCCCGGAGAAGATGCTCCCTCTCAGTGACATTTACAAGTTCATCATGGACCGGTTCCCGTACTACCGGGAGAACACACAGCGGTGGCAGAACTCCCTTCGGCACAACCTTTCCTTTAACGACTGCTTCATCAAGATCCCCCGCAGACCAGAGCAGCCCGGTAAGGGCAGTTTTTGGGCTCTGCACCCGAGCTGCGGGGACATGTTTGAGAACGGAAGTTTCCTGCGGCGCAGGAAGCGCTTTAAAGTCGGCGGCATGTTGGTATCGGACTCGCTGGCTCCCAGCAAGCCACAGGACACCACCCACTACCTGCAGCAGCAGGCCAAGCGGCGGCTCAGCGCTCTGCACGCCGCCGCACACCTCCCGCAGGTGGCGGGTGGATATAACCTGAGTCCCGTGTCGCAGCCCTCCAGCTTCAAGCACCCGTTTGCCATCGAGAGCATCATCGCCAGGGACTATAAGATGCCGAGCGGGCTGTCGGCGTTCTCTACCGCTGGGTACCCGCTCCACAACCCGCTGACCCCGACCTGGCAGCACATGTACGGCTCCGGGATGATGGAAAGCGCAGCTCCCATCTCGATGGCCAGCGACTATTCAGCCTACGGCATGCCGCTGAAGTCCATCTGTCAAGCCGGACAGACTTTACCCGCCATCCCGATGCCCATCAAACCCGCCCCCGGATCTATGCCGGCCCTTCCGGGGATGCCCGCTCACCTGCGCGCTTTCCTGGCTAACTCTCCTCAGTCTCTCAGCCCCACCTCCCCTCGGACAGCCACCGGCCAAAGCAGCCCGCTTGTTCCCGAAGAGGAACTGTCGTCCTCTGCCTCCACGGGGCTGCCGACCGTGGTGTCTGTGCACTAACGGGATGTTAGTTGACTCTTTAAAACTATTAGAATATCTTTTTCTGAAAATATTTGATCCATCACAACTACGATGCTGAACACACGAAGAAACGGCTGAGTGACCTCTGACCTTCAGCAAACAACCAAACATAGGGATCCATATTTCCCATGAACTCTCATTCATCTTCATGTTTTCCGAACTAGTTTTTTTGGGGTTTCACATTCCTCCACAGCGGACTGACTCCGGGTTAGCGGCGTTTTTTGTACCGTGACAAACTATCCAGATCTTTTGTGTTGGAATCCTTTTCTTCTCAAGCTGAATGAGGACTCTCAGATTAATGACTCTGAGATTTGGTTCACTTCAGCTTCTCTGCGGTTTCTCTCATAGAAAAGGAACTTCCTCCTTGTGGAGAAGTATAATTGTTAAATAGTTTCAGAAAACTCAGAATGAAAAAGGCAAATACTAGGTCAACAAGACTCTTTTTCCTTTTCTAAATCCTTTTTTTAAATAATCGATAAGAACAATCGCAGAAGAGAAGATCAAATGAGACTTTAAATGATATATTTATGTCACAGGTTCTGCATATTTAAATATAATAGCACAGGCGGTTGACTCACTTTTTAAAGACGTTATTGTCATGCTGTGTTTTTTCTGCTGCATGCTCCCTCTGTCTGAACACTGGTGCTTCTGTGTGTGTAACGTGGTGTTTGTGACTGATGAACGGCGCCGCAGGCTTTGATGCCCTGCATCTTCTTTGCTGCTCAAGATGCATTAAAGAATCTCCCTGAGAAAATACATGGGAAGCAGTGGAGCGGCCTGTTATTCGCACCCACACGCACACACACACTCTCACACACAGATCTGAGGTCTATAAAGTTTGACAGTAATCAATCAATTCAACATGAAATTGCTGGTATACTGAATATTTCATGCTGTGTATATTTAGAATTTTACAATCAAAATGCATGAAATATTTTGCTCAAAATGTCGATACTTCAGCGTCTAATGCTCTATTTAAGTACACATTTGAGTATTTTACATTTCATGTTACTTTATTCTTGTTCAGATTATTTCAATAAAACATCTTACATTATTATATAATTATTAAAGTGCCGGCTGGACAGTGTTTGTGTATCTGTGTTTGTCTGTCTGTATGTGTGTGTCCTCGTGTCTGTATCTATGTTTGTGTGGCTGTGCGTGTGTGTTTGACAGTGTGTCTGTGGGTGCGTCTCTCTGCGTGTTTGTGTGTCTTAGCTCCTTTGGGGTTTCACACTTTTGAAACTTCCTTGGTGCCAAACTTGTGCGTAAAGGTCTTTGAGTCTGTAGCCGAGCAACGACGACCGTCACCCTGAATATGTCACTTTCTCAACACCCCCCCCCCCCTTCTGTGTGGTCACACATAGACAAAACAAATGACATTTAACCAGGAAAACAGTTGCCTGCTGGTATTGTCATTCCTGCTGGAATGTTTACTGAGGAAAAAACACAGAAGCACTTTATAAACTTTGTTTTTAGTGTATTTCTATTTACTGAGGTACAAACACACTGAAGTATTGTAGTTTGAGGAGGAAGAAGGCACTTCTCAACAAGAAGTAATAAATCACAAACAGAAGCATTTTCTTCACTTTGCTATTGTGAGAATTACAGAAAGACATAAATTGCATTTCTATAAAAGTAGCTGCTATTCCTAGAAAGTCCACTGGGGGTCGCACTGTGGTAGATCGCCTGTCATTGAAAAAAAAATCCCGTCAGGTCACCAGGCACAGGATGGTTGTTCGTTTTGTGTTCCCGCTATGTTGTTCTGCTTGGTTACCCCTACTGCTCAGAATTATTATTATTGGGGCAAACTGTCAGAGCAGGAGGGCGGGTAGATCGCCATGAGTTGGATTGCAAAGTTGAGTAAAAAGCAGCTTGTGAGACAAAAAAGTGAGGGGATCCCTGCGTTAGACCATTTCGACCACGGCGCTTCTCCAGGAAGCAGCGGCCACTTGAAAATGACTGTGTCTCCGCTGTCGACCGTCTGCGCCAAACCCTCCCGTCCAGTGGTGTGTTGGTCTGGCCCACCTGGGATCAATGTGGGCAGTATCTAACCCAAACCTAATATGAGTTTGACACCCATAGCATAGGCTGAATCCAGCGGCCTTCTTACTTCCACTAATTTAGGAACATATGCTTCACCTTCAGAGCATGATTTGTTTCAGGGTGAGAAAAGAACATTTTAAGCTAATTTTAAATTCAATTAAAATAGTTGAGACCTAAACTTTTAGCTAAAAGTAATTGTAGGAGCCAAATGTTGACATCAAATGTCTTTACTGTACTTTTCTGTTCTGTATTCTGTACATTGGGTGGCGCTGTTCTTGGGACCTGTGCGCACCTATATCATTGATTGGGTAACAATTGACATCAGGTGTTGGACCCGGAGAGCGAAAGAGTTTTGGCAGAACGCAGAACAGCGCGTCATACAGACCAATCCAGGGGGGAATCCAGCACCAGAGTAGCCCAGGTAAAAGGGCCGGGCTCCTTTAACAGTAATATTTTATTCTTAAATCAGAGGAAATCAATCAACCACAATACCAGATACATTTATTAACTTGGATGCACAGACTATTTCTACTTTTCTTCCATATACAAGCCAATTTAACTGTAATTTAAGATAAAAGACAATATTTCCCAGCTAAAAAAGCTGAATGTCACCATACACATTGTATAATTAGTTTAGAAACCACAAAACAACAAGTTCAGTTTCTTTGTGTATATATTCTCAACATTTGCAACATTATGACTTAGAAAGTGATATTTCAGATGCATAACTTTGATCCATTTATGTTCATAATACGAAGTATATACTCTATAAATGTTAACAGTTGAGGCGTTAAAGTGACTTTTCACTATTAACTACGGGCAGATGCGGACAGACGAACAGAAATGTCTGAAAGTCTTAAAGGGTAGAGGTCATCAGGTGAGACAAATAACTCTTTATCTGAGCAGGTAGAGAGTACCTGAACAGGTGTATACATCCTTTGCAGCTCTGTTGCTGTAACAGTAGATTCTAGTGATAATTCTTCATCACTATAGAGACACATCCATGTTTTCATAGAAATAGAAATTGTTGCTGGAGTATACTTTAAACGGATTAAACAGCACAGTTTAAGCTTCTTTACAGTGTGACTCCAAACTAAGACGTGATGTTGAAGCTCCAGTCAGGTGGAACCAGTGGTGTCACAATTCAGTTTTGAAATCACACAAACACAGTAAAGATGAATATCAGCGTCCCGCTCTACTGTTATATAAGTATGATAATTGGCTGAGCTGTAATCCGTCATGACTGCATTCGATAATTAAAGACTTGTGGGAGAGGCGTAACAGCGAGGTGTCCTTTCACTAATCAACAGAATGTTTCTACAGCATATGGGCGTCCCTGTCGAGAGAGGTCTCACCGAGGAGGAGAACAACAACAAGCAGAGAGGAAGAACACAGAGATGATGATGATGATGATGATGACACGCCTCCTCCAGCCAAACCGACATACGTTATTTACACTGCTGAGTGAATTCACTACATGATGAAACGTTAGGAAATAATATGAAGATTTTAAAAGTTATCAATAAGACATGAAAAGATGAGGTAGTTAAAAACAGCATGTATTCTTTGTAATTTATCTGACATGTATAAATATGCGTAATATGGCTTCTTTTACTTTCACTGCAATTACCATGAAGCCTTAATCATGGACGTATCTTTTAGGCTAATGTTTGGTGTTTGGTGTGTCTAAGTGCTCTGTTCTCTACCTGCTTCTGTACCTGTGTCCTGACTAAACCCTGACCTCTGACCCCTTAGGGACTTACTGAGGTCACTTGGTAAGAGCTTGAGTGTGAGAGTCAGTCTGTGAGGGCTTTAATGGTTTAAGTATGAACGGACAACACTTTGATGCAACATGTCACGTCGCCATGACAACGTCACAAAATATCATCTATTGAGGGGATTTATTTCATAGATTTTACCCATTGATTTGATCGTCTTTCAGCCTCAAAGTGGTCTGTGAGGTGGGGTTGGCGATACCTTTGTCTGAGTTCAGGAGATGCTAACTGTTTGTGGACATGTTTCACCTTATTTCTCATTACATGTTACTGTGTAGAATAAATCAATAAATTAGTAATTCAGTGACTCGTCAGCCTCTGGTCTATAAATTAATAAATGAAGGGAATGCTATGAATATCAGAACGGCTTCTTGTGAGTTCATCAACACACTTGACTGATCTCCAGCCGGGACCACCCCTCTCCTCCTCCTCCTCCTCATCATGCATAGGTACCTTGTGCGGGGGCGGAGCTGCCTTCCAAAAACCATTTAGAGGGCAGAGAGGGAGGTTAGTTAGTGGGTGTGTGAAAAGAAAACTACACTAATTCATTGGCAGTAAAAGCCCCCCCCCCCCCCCCCCCTGCAGTGCTGTGCTCAGCAGCTTCACGTCCCCTGCCTCCCTCCTCCTCCCATAACTAATTGTCAAACATGCAATGAAGGATGCTGCCTCTGTGCCAGTAGCTTGCATCACTCGTAACTAATAAGCATCATAAGAAAACAAAGTAACAACTATAGCGAGGCTTACGTTTACCATGAACCAATCCCCCCCAACTTCTCTAATGGAAGGGTGGGCGACTACATGAACAAAATGTCCCGTAGTCTTCCATTCACTGATGGAGGGGTAATACACAATGTCATTATTAGTCAGGGGAATCCATCACAGGAGAGTGTCTCTGAGGTTAAAGGTCACTGACCAATATTTGATGGGTTAGGAGTGCCAAGGAAGAAGAAAATGTGTGAAGCACAAAGGTTTCTTTGAGTTTTATTCCGGAACGAAAAATATTTGTAAGATCAGTGTTAACAATTCATTTCTGTAACAGGAAAACAACTACTTATAATACAAAACTACTTGTTTAGAGACATTAAAGTTTGTGAAGGTTAACCCCCTCCCCCACACACACACACACACACGCACGCATGCACACACACACACACACACACACACACACACACACACACACACACACACACACACACACACACACACACACACACACACACACACAGGGGAAGGCCTTGTTATTTGGGTCGCAAATTAAATCAAACAAATTCACCTCTAGCTGAGACAGATGATTTATTTAGACGCTGGCAGCCGGTCGGCACGGCGACAGATTGTGTTCTTGGTTATCTGCCTGATGGCTCCGAGGCTCTAACAGAGACATAGTTTAGCTTAGCTTAGCTCAAAGATGCTAACTCCTTAAAATTGACATTTCTCGATCCCTGCTTGGTTACAAAATGAGTCACAACATGTTAATCAGAAACTTAATCAGAAGTTATGATCTGATGGAGCTCAGTTTCGTCCTGCTTACAGCCTCTGTGCTAAGCTAGGCTATATTTTCACGTGACTCTGAGGAATTATATCTGTGAAATCTTTTCATAGTAGCCAGACATACACAAATGTATGTGACCTATAAGGCCAAACCATTAGTAAAATAGTTTTGAAACCCAAATGCACGACACAGAGACAGAAGACAACTAGAGTAGTTTAGTTTACTAGTCTCAAGAAGGATTTGAACCTGGACAACCGGGAGTGGGCTGCAGGTAAAGACCAGGTGGGGGAGATGAGTGCTGATTGTGAGTGAGAGGCAGGATCTGACATCAGGAACATTTATTATTAAAATATGTTCGACATATGAGGAATTTGACATGGCGGTAGGTGCATAACATCAGAGTATTAGACACATAAAGTGCACAAGCAATAAACATACTCTACACAACTGTGTT